TGAAGAAGGACTTTGGGCATTCTGGACAGAATAAGCACATGCAGAGAACAATAGATCACAAGAAAGGTGCTGTGGAACCAAAATCAAACAACAGACAAGAAGGGGGGGTGCAGGCTCTTATTTCTCAGGAGTTGAGGATATTTATCACATGGTATGATATTTATATGGCCTCACTAGCTTCTGAGAGGGCTCTGCTCTTAACATTTGAACAATTTATTGCCTAATTATTTCATTTGCCCTTTTGAGGAGTCTCTCTGCAGGACACTTTCCCAGAGTGAGTGTACAAAATGTGGGTCCTTGGAATGTCATCCCCCCCATTGTATTAAAAGCAAAATAACCTTTATCAAAAGCTTTGTGACCATTTAGAATATTGGATTTGTGTTTTAATCATAGAGTTCAACAGGAATATAGCCAGTGGGAAGGACTTAATTACAAATGATGTCTTTTTCATGGCTGAGCTGGCGATCTCAAGGGATGCTTTAATGAAGTTCTGAGCCCGCAGACGGGAAAGGTCAAAGGGCTTTCCTCCCCACTACCTCACAGTGCGCAGAGCTGCACCTCATGGCAGCAGATGTTCAACCAGGTACAATATTAGCCCGAGGGGGAAATTCCAGGAAACAGGACTCACATGGAAGGAGTTCTCTGGAATTCAGCGATAATAGAGCAGCCTCTTTCAAAGTTGGAAGAGGAGAGGAATTTAGATAATCTCCATTTGGACATGAATGTATATTTCATTCTAAGAGTTATATGCCAAGAGGAATACCATTCTGCTAGCAAATTTGTTACATATTGAAGATTCATGATATTTTAGATCAATATTCTTTAAATGTTGAAAATGTTCCTTCTGTGTTTATAGTACACACGTATTTAAGTTTATATTAGGTTACCAGATGAAATTGCTTTTTTGGATTGGTCAAAAATGGTTGAATATCCCATTTTATTTGGTTCAACCTGATTACTTAAACTGTCTTACAATTAGCAAAAAAATGCAAAGTTACATTTTATAACACTGTGGTGATCTAATTTTCATTCTTAAACAGTAATTTTGTATTATGCTAAACAACATATTTTCAAAATGTTCAGATGCATATACTGTCCATTATCTCTAAATCTGTGTTTACTTTTTCAGAATTGGCCCTGATTTTCTACTTTGACTTTTAAGCTTTATATCTCTAGCAATAGCCAAGTAATTTATGGCAAAACCTGACATGAATTTTAAGCACATAAGTCATTTTAAAAATTAATATTGAAGAAAACATTTGTGTGTTTTTTCTTGAACTAAAAAAAGCTGGTCTTCCTGCCTTCTCCAAACTAAAAACAAAAACACCTCAATGTGTAAGGAATTCATGAGTTTCCACGTGAGTTCATGTTAATAATTAGAAGGAATCTTTATATACAGAACACTATTTTGATATGGTTTTCCTTTGAAAAGATATTTGGGTCTTTAATTTTTGTTTTTAACAACCTACACCTTTGTAAAATACTTGGTGATGAAAATGGAGTTGAATTTTATTTATTTACTTGATTCTTTTAACCAAAGCTTATCGTGACTTTGTCTTGATGCGTAATAATAATGACTGATGAAAGTAACGTATACTTCTATAAAGCACTGTTTAGTGGAACATTAATTAACAAAATACATACAAAAATGTAAGGACTTAAAGGTAATTCCAATGTAAATTTTAAATAATTAGTAAACGTGAACCCCAAAAAGGAATGAAAACATATATTAATAGTTAAATTAAGCCTGAATATCACTTAAAACAACACTGCTGACAGGTTAAGTACTTGTGATTAAAAAAAAAAAAAAAAATACTGGAGATCTTTTAACAAAGACTAGTATCTAGGCAACTTGGGAGGGAAGGTGGGAGATTTTAGGGGCGAGAAAGGAATGACAAGGAACGGCGAGTGCAGACAGCTGTCACTATTCCTTGAAGCGTATCTCAGCCGAGGCTGCACCTGACGCTGAACGAGAGCGCTCTAAGGTAACTCGCTGCGGGCTGAGTCACACACCAGGCGGTGTGTGTGGCTCACAATTTCTGAAGAGCATGCACTGCGTTCTCTTCATGTTCTGATGAAATAAATATCGGAGGCAGACATAAGATGAGGGAACAAGGGCCACCCACAGGTCAGCTGATCTGATTTACTCCCAAGGCCATTCCCAGAAATTAGGTTTTTAAGTTGAGGGAACATGATTAGTATTTAAACTATCTTTATATNTGATCAAGGGAACAAGGGAACAAGGGTCAGCTGATCTGATTTACTCCCAAGGCCATTCCCAGAAATTAGGTTTTTAAGTTGAGGGAACATGATTAGTATTTAAACTATCTTTATATGACCTCATAGCCGCACACCACCAGCCTCAGCACCTTCCTGGAGCTTTAATATAAAAATTGTAGGACAGCCTGGCCTGCGGCTCAGAGGCTGAGCATCGACCTGGGATCCAGGAGACGGAGGTTCGTTCCGGTCAGGGCCCATGCCCGGGTTGCGGGCTCGAACCCCAGCAGGGGGCGCGCAGGAGGCAGCCCATCAAGACTCCTCATTGATGTTTCTCTCCCTCTCCCTCTCTCTGAAATCAATAAAGATATATGTGTATATATATATATAAAATTTAAGAAGTTGTAGGGTATTTGTTTTTAAGTCTAATTCCTTTGTGTTCCGTAAAATACATAGCATTCTGGCCGTTTGCGAGAGCCTGCGTAAGGGCCCTTTTCATAGTGAAGACGCGGGAAGTCTCATGCTTGGACCGGCAGTCCATGTATCCCGACGGCGCGCGATAACCACGGGAGGAACCACGTAAAATTGCGAAACCTTTGGGGCCCTGGGGAGAAATAGAAAAATGAAAAGAGGCGCCCTGCCCAGGTTCTGGAACGACAGGGAAGGTGTTGCAGGCTTGTTGGAGGGCCCAGTTTTAGTTCTTTCATTTCGGAGGTAAGCGTGTTCCGCAGAGCGCTCGCGAGCCTCGGGCTGTCTCTGGGATAAAAGTCTCCAAAAGGCACGCGCTGAACTTCCAAAGACCCGAGCGGCCCCCAGCGCGAGCCGGGCGCCCCGCCGGGAGAGCGGCGCGGCACGTCGAGGAAAGCGGGAGGACGCATTTAGTTTTTAGTTTTTGAACCTCCCTCCCGCCTTTCTCCAGAGGCGGCGGCCTGGCGGCTCCGTCGATCTTTAGGGCAACAGCGCCGCCCGCGCCCCCTCGGCCTCCGCCCCGCCGCCCGGGT